AGGAAGAATGAGGCTTCCCGTTTTGATTCCAAGAAAATCGGTATTCCTCCACCTCTGCTAAGTCGACGTTCAACAGGTATTTAAAGGATCCTGATTTGAAGGGGTGCCAACTCGTTAGCTTGCCCAGGGTGCCAGAGCTGGCTCTTACCTGGTGGCACGTGCATCCCCTGGGGACCCGAGCTGTGAGTGGGCTTGTGCTGGGGCATCTGGCTGTTCCCGCACAAGTGGTCTTCCTTAGCATGTGTGGCCTGACACAGGGGTTGAGTTCCAGAGCCCTAATGACGGAGCCTACGCCCTCCGCAGGATGAAGGATAGTATGTGAGTGGGAGATGAGTGGGAGATGAGTAGGAGACGGAATGAGGGGAACAGGCAAACAGGAGGGCACTGTCAGTCGCTGGGAGAGCTTAAGTGCCCTGTAAACGTAGGGCAACAAGGAAGATCAGGGGCTGAGGTGGGGAACAGGAGGAGCTGAGACTGGGTAGAGAAGGTGCCTAGAGGCGGGCAGGCGACGAGGTCCTCTGGGTCTGACCAGGCAGTCCCAGCTCCAGCCCATCCCCTGGCCCCTCCCCGCTGCCGGCCAGAGTCACACATGTGTTTTCCTGTTTTCCATTTCGGTCCCCGTCACCCTCTGCCTTTTCTGCTCCTCGGAGTCAACAGCTGCTGCAGCTCGAGCCTTAGCCGGCTTCCCTTCCTAGCACCTTCCCCTCCCCTGCCCCACAGCGTGCTGGTAGCCCCTCCTCCTCGCACCTGCCCAAAGGTCACGGGACAGGTAAGAGGTGGGAGAGGAGGGACTATAAGGCGAGAGGGGAAGTGCAGGAGGAGGATGGAGTGAGCGTCCTGAAAACTGGCTCACTGGAGACCCAAGAGCCTGTTGTCTCGGTCCTGGCCCCGGCCCTCCCCAGGCAGAGCCCTCTGCCCAGAAACTTTGGCCCTACGCTAATGGGAGCCCTGGCCACAGGAGTAAACAATTTCTTGTTTCACTTTTTTTTTTTTAAAGGGACTATCGGAGCCACAGTGGACTATAGAAAAACAAATGGAGAACTGGGGAGGGAGGAGCTGAGCTTCCAGCTTGGGGTGATGGGAGCATCCAGCTGAACCACAGTGTGTTTTCTGTTTCTGTTGTTAGGGGAGGCAGCACAGACCAGTTGGAGCTAGGAAGGCAGGACATGGGGTCTCTGGGAGAGAAACTATCTTCTCAACATTTAGCTCTTGAGCTTGACCGAGCAGCCAAGACCCTGAACTGTGGGCTGGTTCCTGGAGGAAGTATGCTTTGGCGTTGCCATTCATGGGTGGCTTTGGGGTCAGGGGCTTCACTGGCTGTTGTGCTGGGCATGGCACACTTGGGGCCCTGTGCCTGGGTTCTCTGAACCCCTGAATCTGAAACTTCACCCATAGGCTGCAAGATGAGTGTGTTGTCCTGGTATCTGCACCAGGTCCTCAGAGTTGAATGCACCTCAGGCAGGAAGAAGACGGGGTGCTGTGTATCAGGAACGCTGCTATCTCTTGGGGTTCCAGACTCTGCAAGGCTCTCCTGTAAAGCCTGGGGTAGGAGAGCCCTTGGGGAGAGGTCCTGCTGGTCCCAGGCTGCCTGAATGGTGGAGGCATTGCCTGAGAGCCGGAGTCTCTGGGAGGAACGTGAGCTGCTGGAGACGGTGCCTTCCTGCCCACAGCCGCTGGTGCTAAGCAGTGGTTGAGGAAGGAGGGGGCATCTTTTCTCTGGAGGGCAGCCTCCCCTGCCCAGTGTGCGCAGACTGAGAAGTAGGCTAGGGAGATTCCACTGACAGCACTTCCTGGGGGCGCCGCTAGGGTGTGCTGTCTGCCGGAGTGTGGGTTTCACCCCCGTGGGTTTCTGTCTCAAGAGTCCCTGATGAGGACTTCGCTTTTCCCCAGCCGGGGACTAAACCCTGCACACTTCTTCCCCACTCTCCCTCACGGGTTCCCCTTCCTTCGTCCGCCCTTCATTCTTTCCTTTATGTTCCACCCACCCCTTGGTGCCAGTAAATGTGGTCTTAAAATGGCAGGCGGGGTGATGTATTTCCGTGTGTTTTTGTTTGCTAAGCAGTGGGCACCCTAGCAATAGCATCGCTGCCAAGAGGACTTGCGGTCGCCTCTCATCCCTGCAAAGGGATGAGAAAGGGGAGGAGCAGCCGGGAAGGAGATGGACCGGCTTAGTTGGAGCCTTTAGCCTAGCCTGCAGGCTGAAGGATGGCAGAGGCTCTCTGTTTAATCTAATCACACCCTCCCCCAGGTAATTCACGAGGGAGCCAACTGAAGTGTTTTCCTGTCTGAGGGGAAGGCCCAGCAATGGGGCAGGTCGGAGCAGGTCGGATTGGGTGGGAGGTGGGGGGAGATAGCACAGTGCCGGTTCACAGCCCGGGCTCTGCTGGAGAGCCTCGTGGCTCCCTCGCTGGTTTGGCACCCTGGCACATGATTTAGTGCCTGCCTTAAGGGGCTGCAGGCAGGTTTGGATGAGATCAGGCATTTGGGTGCTTAGCAGTATGTCTGGCACTGGGTAAGTGCTCCATAAAAGACAGCTATCATTAAAGGAGTGTGGAGGGGGCAGCCGGAAGGCAAAGACAGGCTCCTCTGGAGGGATTTCCAGATATTTGTGAGGATGGCTTGGGAGAAGCATGATCTTTGGGAAGGCTGACACCAGGATATTCCTTTCGGTTAAAAAAAAAGATTTAAGGGGCTAGAATGCAAAGATGTAGGGTAGAGATAAGGCCCCTCCACCCCCCTGGGGATTTTTAGATCTTCATTCTCTGGTTGTAGAATAACCAAAAAGGGTTAGAAAGAGTGTGGGAAGGGACCGAGAGATTTCAGAATGGATAGGATGTATTTCTGTTGGTAAAAGAGTCCCGGGATACCAGATTGAAGTAGACTATGAAGATAGAATATGTGATTTACAAAAAATGCTTGACTTTCTCTGTTCTGGGCCTGTCTGTCCTGTCTGTCCAGGATAGCTCAATGAAATCTTATTTCTCCATATTTTTTAGGAAACTGGACTAAACTTGTATGTGGGGAAGGTGTTTTTAGGAATTTATGGTTTCTTTTGAGGATGAAAGAGCACCTGAGCAGGGAGGGGAAGCAGCCAGGGGTTTGAGTCTCATTTCTTGACCTTGTTTCCTTGGGAGTAGCTTGAGGCTCAGCCTTGGGGTCATGGCTCAAATTTGGGGGCAGCCATCCTTTGCTCTGAGGGGAAGTGTGCAGAGTTCCTCTCTTAGGATGCCTGTCACGAGGCCACGAAGCGTGGGGACTGCACTTAGACTTCCTCTAATCTCAGCACAGCAACACGCCTTTGTGGCACCCTTGCCACCTCCCTGCCTTTCTT